TTCTGACTCACAGCCTGTAAGTACGTTTTTTATATTTAAAGAGTTTTTATATTTTATATATTTAACGCGAGTTTTTTGGGCAGTGTAGAGTATTGCTTGTTGTTTGTCATTTCTCCGATGTCCAAATGCAGACATGGTTTTATGTTTACAAACTCGCGCTGCAACGCAACGCGTAAAAAGACAGTGTAAGTCATTATAATCAGTAATTATGTCCCCACTGGATGCAACAAATGCCTCGTTTGTAATGGGTTTTAATGTTTTTGTCTCTTCCCCCCGGCCGGGACACGGCATCACAGTATGGTAAGGGGCGTAACATTTCCGTCACACGCTTGAGGTATTTGGCCAATCACAATGCACTGGATAGCTGGCCAATCACAGCACACCTCGCTTTTTCAGATCGATGAGCTTTGTAAAAATCGACGCGTTTCAGAAAGACGGGGCATAGAGGAGAAACAATAATGTACAGTATGTGGAAAATAATGTGTTTTTTTAACTTTAAACCGCATAAACACATTTCATTACACCAAATACACAAAATAATGTTCTTTTTAACAGCATCATATGACCCCTTTAAGAGCAAAGCAACATTTTGTCATGTGCAGAAGTCTGTATAAATAATAAATCGTGGCAAATTCAAATTACAGTTCAGAATATTATATATATACATAAATTTCACATAAATGGGATATCAGCGGTAATTGCACTGATTTACTCTAATGTGCTAAAATCTTGCTTTCTCATCGCAGCTCTGTGTATTAGTTATTGTATTCCAGAAATTGGAGATAAGTGCGTTATTTGAGCATGAGTAAAATTACTCCGTGCACTTCTGTCTGTTTGATAGATGGAGTGCCCTTTAAAAAGACCCATAGCTCTGTAGTCTCAAATGTCTTTTTTTAACTAAAAAACTTTATGAACTTCTTAACTTGGTTGGTTGGTAAATACCCCAGTAAACAGAATACAGTATGTAGGCCTAAATGGTATGGTAATTGATGCAATTATTTCAACAATTCAGAAAACCCAGTTAAGACTAGGATGTGAAAATGTTCTTTTGTATCTGAGGAAGGAGATGATGACTATTTCATCCCACTGTCTTTTTACTGTAGAGGCCGAGTCTGATGACTGTTGTAGAATGGATTGACTATGAAACTCTTGCATTGCTGTTTGGAATGGTAAGCATAATTCTAACAGGTCTAGAAGCTCTCCAGCAGATTTTGTACTCATTCAACCTGAGTAGGAGGGTTCCAAAGAAATATATTAAATGTAAACTCACAGCAGGGCTTTTTCAAATGAAAAAAGTAAAAAAAGGGGTAAAACTAATTTATTAGTGGCGCTTGCTATTTTAGCACTATTACTGTTATTCATAAAAAACAGTGCTCTGTTTGTGCTATGAACATATATCTCAGATCATCTGACTCGTTAGGAAGATGTGTGCAGTTACATTTAGATGAAACTGAACTTATAACTTTGTGATAAAATGGGCAAAAAATACCACAGATGGAATTACACAAGCCAAATCTTGCAACCGCCATCATGTTTTCTTCAGATAAAATCTAGTTATTTAATTCTTTCAGACAGCATTAAACCTGGTGTAATGAGATGCTTTAACCTTCCTGTTGGAGAAAGTTGCCCTGCTAAGTGCTTGACAGTCTGACAAAGCCCCTAATCCAACCCATATCAGTCTCTCAGGCTGGTCAGCCTGGCAGGCACGTAGTGGGGCACCTTTCTTTAATGTGCCGTTAACCTAGTGCTTCTTTTAGAAAGAATTCCTCAGGGCGTTATTTGCGTTGCACTTACTTTGCAGCAGCACACTCGGTTGAAATGTTTGTTAGGTGTGGCTGGTGGTCTGCATATGTCATTAGTCCATATTTTACATATTAATGCAACATTACAATATGAATACACATTAAAAACACACAGCCTCTCTAATATTATTGCTGAAGTGCCACCCTTTTCAAGATCTCTGTTTGTTCAGTGTCTGTCTCCATGGAAACAAATACATTCAATCAGCCCTCATCCAGAAGACTACATGTAGGAGTATTTGAGGAAAAGCATAAAAGAAAATCAGAGACTGATGATAGAAAATGAATCATAGCATCTGTCAATTTTAAAGACTGACTATGAAAGAGACTGAGAGCCATTTTACATTAGAAACATTTGCTTTAATAAACTCTGAAATATTTATGTTTCACTTTATTGATTTTCTATATTTCGAAGATGTCTGTTTCTGTATCTTAGGGCAAAAAAAATAAAAAATCAGAGAAGGATATATGTGGCATGAAATTGAGTGAGAGACCGTGTGGTATTTGAGACATAATGTGATTTTATAGCGACACGTGGCAGTAAGCACTAAAAATAGAAACCATGAAATGTTCAAGTCTTACAACCCCTACTATTTACTTTCAGATGATTCTGGTGGCAATATTCTCTGAGACCGGTTTCTTTGATTACTGTGCAGTGAAGGTGAGTTTTCTCAATCATCATGTTGCATATGCTTGTTTGTGATTTGTTTAGCAGAGGTCTGCTTAAGTCTTGGTTTCTGAGAGACTTATTTCTTCATATTCTCTCTAAAATTAGTCCACTCAATCTATCCCACGCACCTTAACATATAATATTATATACATTTATATACCTTATATACTTACAGATACAAATAACTACTTACATTTAGTCAGCAACAACAAGGTAGCGTGTGAACTGCTGCTATTGATTCAGTCTGATATGCTTTCATTTTACATTACTAATGTCCCTATTTTTTTATTTAGTCAATGTAATCCCATCATGCTACTTTTCCCAGTAAGCTTTGGGGAAAAGTAGCAGAGCTATTACTATAGCTGCCCTGAAAATCCCTATCATTCACTCTCATGCAAAGTGATGAGAACCCCACAAATGTTTTATGTATGAAATTTATGGGGAAATATCAAGCCCCAATAGAGATGTGAAAAGGAATCAGATGGAACAAATCTTTGTGAAATGATGCAAACGTTTATAAATCATGAAGAAAATGGGTTAGGTTTAATGAAAGCCTAAAAATAAATCTTAGGATGAGCTTCATTGGATAAATATCGCATTCCTTATTTTCAGGGATTCTGTGGACTGTTGTAAAATACCTGTTGGAACATTATAGATGTGCTCTGGACATTATGAGGGCACACGCTTATGTCCTCTCATCCCATTCATGAATATTAAGAGGGTTCTGGAAGAGGACCTGTGGAAGAGGTTCCACAAATTAAAATATTGCCATAGAAACAACCCTTTTGATTGAACACCATCTCAAGACAGCATAAAGCATTTTGCCTTGAAATAAAAAATCAAGCTTATTCTATCCGTGTGTGTAGTCTTGTGTGGTTAAGGCCCGTTCACATGAAGAACGATAACTATAACGATAACAATAACAATATTAGTGTCCACACCAACGCACAGTCATTTTCTGTTCATTATAAATGTGCACTGCAGTTATGTCATCTGCCGCTTTAAAGGTGACATATCATGAAAATCTGACTTTTTCTGTGTTTAAGTGCTATAATCGGGTCTCCGGTGCATCTACCAACCTAGAAAACTTGAAAAAGAACAACCCAGTCATTTTTTTTGGAAGCCTTTCTCTGCAAGCTTGTCAAAAAAACGAGCCCTTTATTAATAATATTACCGCCCCTTAATCTGCACCTTTCCACCCATGGCTAACGCCATGTCTAAAGTTCGAGCAAAGCATGCTAATTGTTCTGTCTTTGGCTGCACTGACGAGCACAGAACACTATTTAGAGTCCCAGCCTCAGAGGAGACAAGAGAGCAGTGGATTTATGGATTTATTTCCTATATATTACGCTGCTGCCACACAGATCTAATATAAACATGCAATTTCTTTCCGGCTGTTTACCTTCACTGACATAATCGACAGTTTTTGTAACTCGTGTGTTTTAAACATAAACCTGTGTGTATTTGACAGTTTAAGCGCAATAAGACATGAAAGAGAACTTAGTTTAGTACTCACATGCCATGTGAAAGCCGCTTTCTGTGCATGTGCTTCGGATACGTGCGCTCAGAAAACCCTATGTCAGAAGTTTAAACTAATATGGTTTAAAACGTATGATTTCAGCACGATAGACATGATAATCAAAATCAAACAGATGCTTTTGGCAGAGTATCTGAGGAACAAGCTGTAAAGGCACAGCCCTATTCTATAAAAGGGGGAGGGGAGCAGCAGCTCATTTGCATTTAAAGAGACATGCACGAAAACAGCGTGTTTCTGCTTAAAAAAAACATTTTCAAAATTATATAATAAATGATCTGTGGGGTATTTTGAGCTGACACTTCACAGATACATTCTGGGGAAACATGAGAGTTATATTACATATTGTAAAAAACAGCATAATATAGTGGTCTCAAACTCAATTACTGGAGGGCCACAGCTCTGCAGAGTTTAGTTCCAAACAGAGAGTTATATTACATATTGTAAAAAACGGCATAATATAGTGGTCTCAAACTCAATTACTGGAGGGCCACAGCTCTGCAGAGTTTAGTTCCAAACAGATCCAACTTCAGATTTCTAGTAATCCTGAAGACCTTGATTATTTGGATCAGGTGTGTTTGATTAGGGTTGGAGCTAAACTGTGCAGAGCTGTGGCCCTCCAGGAATTGAGTTTGAGACCAATGGCATAATAGGTCATAATAGGTTAAATGTTCAAGAGGATGAATTCTGATCAACTGTCAATGTTTTCAACATTCATCGGCTGGAAGAAAAAATGCTATTGTTCCTTTGTGCCATTCACAGTTGTGATATAGAATCCCCTATTCTTTCTTTATCGTTAGCATTATAGTTATCATCCTTGGTGTGAACGGGCCTTTACTCTTTGTTTATTTGTCAGTTAGCATCTTTTTTAGTCAGGAAGCAGTGACATAATAGGTGGGTTACAACACCCATGCATTACCACTTGATTAGTATGATTCCAGACAGCCTGATAATGTCTCCATAGCGACAGGCTCTTAAAGTTGGAGGTCTTTTGTTTTTTTTTATTCTTTTCTTTTCAGGCATGAACATTCTTTTAGCGCTAAACCCTGAATGAGCAAAAACACTATAGATCCGTGTCAGTTTTTAGACTGAATTTCTCATTAAAGTTCACTTTTGAACATTTTGTTCTGAGACCCTCTCAGAGGACTGCTCTTGATTCTCTGTCTTTGAGGCTCTGTTAAATCTATCTCTCCATTCCACTAGAAAATGTTTTGAACACATGATTTTGTTAATGTTCATAAACAAAGGCAAGCGATTTTTGGGTTTTAATTTATTTTTGACCCAGTTAGTTTTCATTAATGTGAAGTTACGAGAAAAATCTAACTTTGTAAACCAATAATGAAGCATTCCCAACAGTGTTCTGTATGTCTCCACACAGGCGTATCAGTTATCGCGAGGAAGAGTGTGGCCCATGATTATGATTCTGTGCCTAATTGCGGCCGTTCTGTCAGCCTTTCTTGATAATGTAACAACCATGATGCTCGTCACCCCTGTTACAATCAGGTAATGGTCTCTCTTCCTGAAACGGAGTCTCTTTCTCTCTTAATATCTCTTTTGACTTATTTTTTAACCCTGTTAAGTAATACAAGACTATGTGACAAGTAATCACCCTGGAATAAACATTAAAATACAATGTTCTGAGGTTGAAGCCACAATATTTATACAATCTACATGTGAGACTCCTCAGAAAACCTCCAAAATGCCTTTCCCAATAGACATTTGTTGTAAGTGCTTTGCTGTAAAACTTGACTTCATTTTATTTTTATGAACTGAGGGACAAATCCATTTCTTTGGTAAGTGACAGCATGCCACAGATGCTATCAATAGAGGTTAACTTGCATTGAACTTGGAACATTTCTCTAATAGGTCTTTGTAAAGAAGTTTGTTCAGCTGAAGTACTACTACTACTACTACAAAAAAAAAAAAAAAAGGGTTCCAAAAACACAGATGCTATCAATAGAGGTTAACTTGCATTGAACTTGGAACATTTCTCTAATAGGTCTTTGTAAAGAAGTTTGTTCAGCTGAAGTACTACTAATATGACAAAAAAAAAAAAAAAAAAAGGGTTCCAAAAAGCCTTGGCTTGGCAGTCTGTGCTTAGATTTATATGAGGATACAATAAGTCATGTCTCCATGCTATAAACGCCCCACCTCATTGCTCTTTTTAGCTCCATTTGAGCTTATTTTCTTCCATCTTTTCACCGTTACACGTTGTCCCTCAATGTGATTCATTGGTGCCTGTGCACATTATATGTGTGTTCTCAAGTCTTTTATATGTTTTGTATCTTGATGTACAGCATCATTTATATATAATTTATTTAGCAATGTTTAGGACACCCTGTTCTTTCAAAGTACATGTGCTATGAAGCAATTAGGCATCATGTAATATTGTTTCATGTCACATCCCTGCTAAAAAAAAATCCTTAAGGCCAACAAAGAATATCTTTTTTCATCAAGGATACTTTTATTTGTATTTTCATCCTTCTGCAAAATTCATCCATCAAATTCTTATCATCTTATGTAGACATTAAAAAAATCTCTTGTGTGGTAGGATAAAATAAATCTATATTTCACACGTAGCCATTAAAATGTTAGGCGCAGCCTCAGCGTTTTCATGACACTGTTGGTGAGAAATGACTCCTTTTTTTGATTATGCATCACCAATTGCATCGTCAAACACCTTCGGGGCTTCAGGGTTCAGAGACACAGTACACACACACACACACACACACTCGTTAAAGAACGGATTTGAGAAATTAGAGAGTTCAGCTTTTCGTTAATAGGCAATTTGCTTGAGCAAGAGTTTTTTAATGCCAATTTAGCAGGGAAACTGATTTGCTTATCTTTAGATTTGCTTGAAATTCAGTGTTAATAACTAAACTTGAGCACAAACCTGGAATTTTTTTTGCAACTAAGCTTAAAGTTTTGCTGCTAAAGAATCATGTCCTCTCCTCGCCATATTTTATGGTAAAACAGACGAGTCTGAGTAAAACTACAAAAGTACAAAATGTGGTTGTTAACCCCAGTAAAAAATAAGTATACTAAAATGTACTTGAAAGGCATTTATTTCATGCTAAGTATACTACAAATACATTTACATATTTATGTACTTAATAAAATTACACCGCAACTGTACTTTTAGTTTACTAAACTGGTATACTTAAAGTCTGCTAAACTGGAACAACTAATTTTGTACTTAATGCACTTTAATTGTGCGTAAGTAGTGCTGAAGTCCAACTAAAGATACACTGAAGTATATTTGATTGTGCTAAAGTGGAACTGTTGCAAGTATACTTCAGGTACACTTTAAATATCTTGCATTTAAAGACTAATACAGTATACAGTATATTATTCGATATATTAATATATTATTCAAAGATTATGCAATCCTCATCAATAGTGACATTAAAACACATTTTAGGCTTAGTATAAAAAAATGTGCATTGTGCTCAAAATAAAGTTGTACTCCAGTACAAGTATAGTACTCCAAATAAAGTTGATTATAACTTTTATATCAGTAAGTCTCGAGCGATATGTCAGTAAATATGTTAATTGATTTGAACTATACTTAGTATGGAATAAATGTATTTTAAATAAATTACTTTTTTACTAGGGGGAAGGTATTCTGTGTGTGTTTTTTGTATGTTTTGTGTTCTACCAGACAAAAATCATGAAAATATGATGTATTAGAAAGATAATAGTACATCTTTTCTCAAACAATGACTAGTGAGCATTTAACTTTCTTGGAGACCACTCTATGTAACATGTTTGCATTGCATTGATGTTCCAGGAACATTAGTCCTAATCAGGTTTTGTAATGTCTTCTGTACATTAGGTTATGTGAAGTGCTCAATCTGGACCCCAGGCATGTCCTGGTTGCCGAGGTCATCTTCACCAACATCGGAGGAGCTGCCACTGCTGTTGGAGATCCACCCAATGTCATCATCGTATCCAACCAGGATCTGCGTAAAAAAGTATGTAATTAATTCCCACCATTCTTATTTGATGCTGGGTTATTCACGGGTGAAAGGATATTGTGCTGCTGTCGTGTGCCTGTTGAGAATGTCTTGGGGAACTTGTTGGACAAATTATACATGACTGCACAAATAAACAAAAACACACAGACACAAGCATGTGACCGACCATTTTTCTGGCATAGAATGATAGCCTTGTGCCAAAACACGCTGTCACTATCTACTCAAGGCTAAAACACCATGGCATCCTGTCTTACACCTCAGACTATTAATTATGTAGGAATACTTCTTGCCAGCTTTAGTTATGCTCTGCCAAATTCTCTCTCTCTGTCTCTCTCGCTCTCTTTCTCTCAGCAGAGTTGAAAACTTTTAACTTCAATAAAAACTAAACGGCAAACCTGTACAGTCATTGTGTACAAACTCTGAGACCAACAATTTTCGACTAAGGGTATGCGAGATGTTTGGCTGCAATTGACTTGTTACTCACAGTATCTTGCCTGTTTCACATACTATGCAAAAACAGCATGTAAGGTATTGACACATTGCACATTATAAAATCTGACTAAATCAAGATCATTTAGGCAGTTTTATTTGTCATATTACCATTTGAGTGTAAATATCTAATTATTTTTAATTTAAATTAGATATAAAAAAAAATCAATAGGTTACACTTTATTTTCAGGTGTCCTTGTTACAGTGTAATTATACATTTAAGCACTGAGTAATTAATGGTTAGGGTTTGGCTTGGGGTTACTGGCATGTAATTATGAATAATTTATTGTTAGGGTTATTATAATAGTAAGTACATGTAACATGTGTAACAAGGACACCTTAAAATAAAGTTTTACCATTCAATATATTTAATATGTAATGCTATTAATCAAATTCATATTTACCTTTGCTTATTTTGGCCTTTCTCTTGTTTGGCAAATGAATAACACTTAAAATGCAGGTGTAGGAAGGCAGAGAGAGAGAGAGAGTTTGTAAGCATAAAAGCGAACAAAAATCTGCATTTCTTACAGACTGGGGTGTCTTTTTTTCTGGAACCTAAAAAACTCCCACACTGGCGAGCTAACTTTTTTCGGATTCGAGTAGAATGTTTTTCTTTCATCTGTTTTCTCAAACATATATATATATTTTTTGGTAGTAGTAACTACACACGCTGTTGTTGTCTTTTTTTCCCCACTGTATGATGAGTGGCAACTGTGTTGAGTTGCAATACTATTACAATATTATGTATGTGTACTATTAACATGTTATCAGTATTCCATTTTTAAATGGTTATCATCGATATCAGTATACTGTGACACTCCTATTTGATTATGCACTGTGAAACAGGTCTTATTGTGTGTTACTTGATGCTGTTGAAGGTACAACGAAGCAATGCCTGTGGATGCAAGTGATTACAAAATATAAGGTCTGCAACATCGGCTTGTACTTTCCTAACATAATCACAGAACAGTATCACAAGGACTTTCTTTTTTCGTTGTACAACTTCAGAGTCTATGAGCAAACTTTTTCCATCAAACCCTAACTCGCAGGAAAACACTATTTTAAGGTCACGGGCAGGCTGAATAATCTCCAGGTTTATGATGTGACCTCAAAGTAGAGAGTCTTGTGTGGTTCTGTCTTCATTGAGGCTTTTGTAATATTGGTTTGATTGAAAAGGCGAGGGAACATTTTGTGATTTATTATTCACTTTAATGGAGGAGACGGAACAGTGTGACCCAGGTTTGTGGTTGATTAAAATGTTCATGTTCACATTCAGACAGAGATCAATGCATGACCTCATCAGTTGTATGGCTAAATTCACAGTATATGCCTTGGAGGTTGTTCTGTCAGTTTGTTTGACAGTATTTGAGTGTCCGCCAGTTTGTCTTTTTGTAGTCATGTTTGTTGTTTTATAGCTCTTATTTAGGATTATGGATATGAATGCAGTTTGAACGGCTAACCGTTTGAGTGCACTTCATAACACGACTCAAGTATGCGTTGCGTTCTCGGCATTGCCGCAAGCTGGCATTAGCATAAACTGTCTGCTTCTACAGCTAGTTTTCTCTTTTAAATCCGAGGAGGGGCCGTTTGAAGAGAATGTTGCTGAGCAAGTTAGATCTCATAAGTATGTTTACCTGAATAATAACAAATCTGATTCAATAGCGAAGACATTCGAAGCTAGCTTTATCATCCCATGAGATTTGTTATCGTCTCCATAGTGTAAGAACACACATTTAATATGTTCAACGGGACTGTGCTCACAATGCTTTAGCTGAGCATTTGCATAAAGTAAACTTCTGGCCTAAATCGTGCAGCTTGTTGAGGTGTGCTATTACCTGGTGATTTACAATACAACAGACAATGAAAATCCATTAGATGTGCATTGAAATTGCGTTGGCACTAGACTGAGGAAACAGAACGTTATACAGACTTGCGCTATATCCGAATAGTATACTATATAGTAGAACTATATAGTAGGCAGTGAAGGGTAGATTACTTACAAATTGTAGTCTATTACTAATTACAGATTACATGGTGAAAACTGTAGTTAGTAATGTAATCTTCTGTAGATTACTCATTTTAAGTAATATAATCTGACTACTTTTTAGATTACTTTTAGATTACATTTTATCTAACTTGTTTTAAACTTACCATTAAACATACCATATTGGTATAAAAAAGAGAAGAGAAAGAAAATATATTAATTTTTTTATAAAAACACTGTAAAATGCATTAAACATTACGTTACACCATGGTTTCCCAAACTGGGCTTAATGTAATAACTGCAGTGGGTTTGTGAGTTGATAAAAAAGCTAAAATAAAAATAATCTAAACACTTGGACACTAAAAGTAGAAATATTTTATTTGTCTACCTGCATGTCATTGTGTCCATTAACCGATATCAGAGAACTGTTTGGGAATCACTGCCTTTCATGAACGAACATTAATAAACATGAAAACAACAAAGACATTACACAAATATTTTTGTCCAGACTTTCAGAATCAACAGTTACTGAAGGTCATTGGATATGATGAGAACATAATGTTTCACAGCTATACATCACCAGTGTTTAGTAGCTTGCATAATTATTTGTTTCATGTATGGTCTAATTGCTTAAGAGGTGTTTTTCACTCAAATTCAGAAGCATGTTGTGCACACTTATTTACATGCCATTTGGGAATATAGTCAGAGCTAAATGGTATGAAACACAGTAGGATTTTTAGAAAGGAAAAATTAAGAGAGAAAAAAGAAGAATTAGGGAGAATCAGTAAGTTATGAATAATTTACGATGGCAAGTTCTTCCATAAAAGCATGTATGCTAGTCTATGTGTTAGTGTATATGGTCAAAGTGTGTGTCAGTAAGTACGTGTAAGTGTCCAGCTAAAGCTCTGAATGAGACACAGAGGATGAGATAGAGCTCTTTCATCTCCAGCTCCAGATGCTGATTAAAGATGCTCTCTTTGGAGCCACTCTACCCTGCAGCTCTTCTGTCACACACTACCACAGACACAATGACTAAGACAAAAAACCCTATGTGTGTGTGTGAGTATCAGTGCAAAAAAGAAAGGGAGCGGAAAAAGGGTGGCTATAAAAGTATAGGAGATCCATCTTTTTCTGACAGTCTATTTAAAAGGCTACACGCCAAAAGAACAACTATATGCCTAAAAACCTCAATCTATTTGGAGCCATAAATTCTGATGTCATATAAACATCTTGTCAGCGAAACTGATTTCCAGCACCATCACACTTTCTGACAGAGATGGATGAATTAGTGTGTGAAGCACGTTAAATTAGCTGTTTTAATCAAGTGCTGCTTCACGTTTTAAGTGCGTTTTAAAGAGAGAATCTCAACGGTGACTTGAAGGGTCAAGCAAAGGTAAAGAGAGGAGTTTTGTAATACACATGATTTTTTAAATGCTTTAATTGTAGGTGGGAATATAGGACTTTTGGGTGGCCTGAACACTGTTTAGATCAGAAGTCATCATAGCAAAAGATAAACAGTTAATTAGGGCTCATTTTCACCTGAATCAAAAATTTCACAAGGGTCGACAATATTTTATTTTTTAAATTAGCGCATAAATTCTGTCAATATGAAATTGTCAAATTTATTGTTGTCAGAATTTTTGTGAAAAACTGGTTAGAAAACAAATTTTGGAGACTTTGATTTCTGAGGTCTAACTCCATTGAAAAGTTTTTCACTCTCTGGGGATCATTTCTTGGATATTTATTTAGACAAACTAGCTGGCCAACCAACATCTTAATGTTTCCTATATGTGTGTTGAGTTGTACATTACCTTCCTGCGTTCCTGATGATTGACTGTTTTGCAGCTCTTTAGTTACTGAACCTGTATTTATTTAGGTCTAAGTTAGTGCACATACGTGTATTTTTATTATTTTAATTTTTATTTCTTATTTTTATTTTCATTTTTATTTGTTTTATTTATGTATTTTTATTTCTTTTCTTTGTGAGTGCATGTGAAGTCTGCGACAGTGTTGTTTGTTTTTTCTGTGTTGTACTCTGAAAAATCCTGAAAGGATTAGAATATCTCTTTGGATTTGAGACTTTAGTCTTTGCAACTTTACAGATCTTCTTAATGCACCAAGGGCTTGTAACACTCCAAAGAGAAAGGAAAAATTGAAATCGCATCATATGACCCCTTTAAAATAAAATAAAATTAAAAAAAAAGAAAACACATTTTGGAAAGGAGACTTTGGAACTTTTAAACCGTAATTTAAAAATAAAAATGTTTAGAACAAACTATCATTTTTTTCATTTTTCATGGCTTTTTAGCCATGTCAAACTGCAGCTGGTTTGGCATTTCAGTGTTGTCTTCTGATATTTCATAGTTTAATAATATTAAATTATTTGGGAAATTAGTAAGCAGTAAACTGGCCATTTTCAATTTCTTGTACTCTTTACATTTCACGAAGATTTGTAGAAATCTGGGATATGAAAGGTACAAAATTCATGATACACACAAAATGACAGACGTTTAATTAGTAAAAG